TATATATAAATATAATCTTCAAAAAAAAAAACATTCTGTATAATTAAAATAGATATGGTTATGGAGTAAAATTTATTGAAAAGATTTATAAAATAGTAATTATAAGGATAAAACTGGACAAAAATTGTGTACAACAAAGAATCCAATCTCCTTATTATAGTTATAGATAATTATATTTAATAATATATTTTATAATTTACAAATTAATAAAAATGATGAATTTTAAGCTAAAAAATTAATAAATCACTTATTTATTATTATTATTAATATTATTGTTATTATTATTATTAATAATAAGATCAAGATACATTATATTTCTATTAAAAATAAAATAAAAATAAAAATTAAATAATAAAAATATATTGGTCGAAGTAGTGTTAACATTGACCTTTGAACTTCAATGTATTGAATTCAAGTATTAAGTTTGATAATAAAAAAATTATTTTTTTAATAATAAAAAAATATAATAATTTATCAAATGTGGAGATAAAGATAGTTATTAAAAGGGATATCCCTTTATTTATTAGTATAAATATAAAGAATGTATTTTATATTAGATATTAAATTTAATTATATTAACTTAATTTAAAATAATAGTTAATTTAATGTTTATCATTATATCTTTAATAAAATATTTATGATTATAGGAATTTGAAAGTAAAATATTTAGTATTTATTTTATTTTTTTTAATTACAAAAGTAAAGAAAGAAAAGAAAGGAAAAAAAAAAAAAAAAAAAGAAGTATTTAGTATTTATTTTATTTTTTTTAATTACAAAAGTAAAGAAAGAAAAGAAAGGAAAAAAAAAAAAAAAAAGGAGCGTGAATGGGAGACCTTTCCCCCAATTTCACTTTCGACCCCTAATCTAGAAAAGTTTTGCCGCCTTCTCTGTTACTCTCTTGGTCTTAGCTGCTCACTTCTCCTACCCAGGTATGGTCTTTTTTATCTCAATCTTTGATAAATAGGTTTTGATTGCTGTTCCACACATGCTCCCACTTTTCAATCTCTATCCACTGTGCAATTTTTGTCGTGCAATTTATGCTCCATATATTCTTTCTTTAATAAAAAAATGTTTGGGGTTTTACACTTTCACTAATTTCACTGTGTAATTTCTCCTTTTTCTTCCTCTGTTAAGGTAATTAATTGATATTAGGAATTGAATTAAGTAATTAGGGTCCATGTGCACACCCACCAAAATTTGTCTGGCATATTAATGTTTCTATCATAATGTATAATGAAGTCTTTTTTCGACATTCATGACTAGGGATTTTTTAATATATGTAATTGAGTGAGATAGAGATTGTACACATATTGAGGTAGTGATAGAGATCGTTCTTCAAAGAAACTTGTGAAAATACAATACATGTTTCGGTCATGGAGAATGTTGCGCAATCAATTATTTAAACAATGTGCAAAATTTGAAAAGATTTTTTGGCCAACATTTTTTTTTCATTCAATGGAACATTTAGTTGTACATCTTGTATATGAAGCAAAGATAGATGAATGATTCTCAACAAATCTTCTAAATATCAAATGATGTTTTTGGTTTGACCGTCTATTTTAGGGTGGTAGACTAAATTCAACCCAAGTTTAATATCCAAACTCCTATATAAACTCTCTCAAAATCTAAAAGTGAATATATGGTCTCTATCATAAATTATACTATTTGGAACCCCATGCAACCTCACGATCTAATGATATCATGCCGAGAAGCCTAATCTTAAAGGAATCAAGAGAAGTGAACTAAACTTGAAGGAAGAGGGCCCAAACTTTTATTGAGTTTTTGATTATTTTTAGTAGTTTGCTGGCTTTCTCTTTGTATATATTTTTTCTTGTAAATATTTTTCTTATTTTTGATCTTGTATTTTGGATAAAGTAATGTAGAAATTGATGTCCTTGTATTTTTATTTTAGGGGTTAAATAATAGTTTGAAGTGGTGCAACTAGTAAATGCTTGTTGGACATATTAGGTTTGGGATCATGTAGGACACCCACTTGCTCTTGCAAGTGGTTTGGGATGTCCAACATGGAGGGGACAAGGTTTTCCTAGGCCATCCAAGAGACAACATGTCACATGACATTGTCTAGTCACACAAAACACATAATGTCACATGACAAATTCCCATTGGCTCTTCTAGATCTAGGATAGTGACACGAGTCACACTTTTCTTGTGACATGGAAAATTCTCATTGACTATTCTAGATCTAAGATAGTGACATATGGAGGAGGCTTAGACAAAATTGGTTAATAGTCTCGAGTTCAAGTTAGTTAACCTAACATAGGTTATTTTTAAGTTAAGTTACCTTAGCTTGCACTACAAGTTACCAAACCCTATATATAATTGTAACCTAGTAGTTGGATGTCACTTTTGATAAATTGTAAGAAATAACATTGAGTTTTTTCCTTCCAAAAGTTTTAGTTCTTTCTCTTGGAGACACTTCTCCTTAAAAACCTTTATCAACAATTTTCTCCTTATGACAAGTTTAACACCCTTGCTTATCTTCTCTAGAAGAAGTGGCACATCCATTTTTGAATCTACTTTGTCATTTGAAGTTTATTTTGGTGTTTTTGGAATCCATGGAAGAAGATAGGAAGCATTAGAAGCTAGTTGAAGAGAAACATCAACCTTCTCCAAGCTAGTTTCATTATATTTGGTATCATAAGCTTTGATTTTTCCATGGAGGTTTCTTCTTCATTTTTTTGTGTTGTCTAATAATACTTACATGTCTTGTAGTATGTTTGTTTCTTATATCTAAAATTTTGAATGCTATATGATAGATCTAAAATGTGTTGAAAATTTTTGGTTCAAAAATTTTTAGTACTAATTTTTATGAACCATATCTTTGTGTTTTACCTTAGGATTCTTATTCTATAAGTTTTCTTTTATTTTTTAATGTCTAATATGTTGTATGATGCATGATTTGTAGTTTGTGTGGTGTATGTGTTAATTTTATTTTGAAATCTATGCAAATGCTAATGTCTTAGAAGTCATGTTTACTCATTGTTTTGTTATCACTTCTAGTAGTACTTTTTCCTTTTGAATATTGAAAATACATGTGCTAGATACATTATAATGCATTATACAATTGATACATAATACACATTATCATGCATGTGTCGCCAGTAAAAACATCACACATGTGCACTACCGTTAGCAATACACATAGAGTAGCCTAGGAGTACATGTTGGGTCACACCCCGACCTCTACACACTTTTACTAAGAGGACATATTACTAGGATCTAGTCGAGATAGCCAAACCATGCAAGATACATCTCATGCACAAGAGGACAGAACTACAACTTCCTAAACAAGTTATCCCTAAGGTTGGTTCTCAAGCTTTTACACAAGGGA